AAATTCTCTCTGAACATTCAATGGAATGAACATTCATTCATTCATAAAGCTGAGGCTCCAATACTTTGGCTATCTGATGTGAAGAGCCAACTCATCAGAAAAGACCCTGATGCTGGGAAAGATTGAAGTCAGGAGGAGAAGGGGGTGACAGAGGATGAGATGGTTGAATGGAATCACTGACTCGATGACATGAGTTTGAGCAAACTCCGGGAGATAGTGAAGGACAGGGAAGCCTGGCATGCTTGCAGTCCATGGGGTTGCAGAGTCACCCATGACTGAGTGACTTAAGAAAATTTTATTCTCATAGTTTTTTCACTCATCTGTCTCCTACCATCTAACCGTAAATGCCTCAAAAAGCTTATCATAATGCTTATCTTTTTGTCTTCAATACAACTTGCTGTCTAGACAGAGAATATGTTCAGTGGATGATGTTCAGAGGGGAATAATGAAGAAATGAGACCTGGTGAGATTTTTCTTTGTTAAATTCAGAAATTCTTCGTTAAAATCTCTCATTGCTACCAGAACTTGACACTGTGGCAATTTTGTAATCTTTGGTAGAAAAGCATCCTCCATTGCCTCCATAGTATAGTTCTTCCTGCCTTTACTTCTGAGGATTACTGGACATTACTTCTACTGTTTTCTTCTATAATACACCTATTGTCCAATATCTGTATAGGCTGATCTGAAAATTTTTTCCACTCTGGGACTGTCATGTCCAAAAAATATATAAGCACTAACTCACCTTAGTAAGTTCTATTTTCACACATACTATCTTATGCTAACCATAGAGGAACAACTTAGGATAGAATATTTTTGTCAATGAAATGAAAAATGAGATACAAAGAGTTAAATGACTAACCTAAATTCACTTAACTAGGAGTCTCTAATTTCTGATACCAGGCTTTTCCTACAAGGGCCTTTCCATTGCTTGAATATTTTAACCACCCGGGGAGCTGTAAAAACTCCTCTCCCTGGGTCCTGCTCCCGAGACCCTACTATAATTGGTCAGGGGGTGCACCTTTTACATGGGAACTTTCACAAGCTCCTCTGGGGATTCTAATGAGTGGTCGAGATTGAAACCACTGCATTGGAATTTGATGATACTGCTTCTTGCATCTAAATGTATTTTTGGAGATACCTGCCCTCATCGCTAGTTCAAAGGCTCAAGGAATGAAAGTATCCCAAGGTGAAAGCAAGCATCCCCACGATACTTCAGGCTGCTTGGTCTGTCTTGTTGACGGCAAACAAGTGCAGGAAGCCTCTGCTCACTATCACAGGGTACACTGGTCTGAAGGAATTCTTTTCCTGGAACATAAACATTTCCTCATGGGGATCGGATTTTGTCATTAAGGTGCTGTTGCCCACAACCAGATGTATTGGTTTATTCTCTGCCAAACTTTTTATTTGCCATCCTATAGTGATGGACAGAGAACAGTGGATCATCAGTACATTTTCCCGTGATTAGCTATGATTATGAATAAATAATTGTAATTATTGAAAATGTACCACACATACTTCAGAGTTTGAATTTAAATCTCAAGTTATATAGAAAGAACAATTTTACATCATATTATGAAGGCAATATAATATAAAACAAAGAACAGTGAATATGGAATCAGAGGATTTGGTTCAAGTCTTTGGACCACACTTACTGAGCACTCATTGTACACTAGGCATTGTTGGAGAGTCTCAGTGTTATGAGGTATGTTCTGTAACTATTCTCATCTTACAGATGAGTGAACTGGGACACAAAGAGGTTAAGAAACTTGCCTAAGGTCACACTACTAGTAAATTGCAGGGTCTTGGCAATATACGTCCAGAATTTACACTGCTACCAATATGTCATATTCCATGTGTGATTTTAGGTAAATTACTTAGCTTCTCTTGGTCTTGGTTTTCTCATGTGTTAAAGAGAGTAATAATAATGCCCAGCTCATTGGGTTCATATACAACTATGGATGACAGAAATTTGGTGTTCAGTAAATATTGGTTGATAAGTGAAAAAAGAATAATATTGAAATGATTAAAAAATATACAGATTAAGAGGTACAAACAACTAAGCACAAAATAAACAAGCTACAAAAATATATTACAAAACACATGGAATTTAGCCAATAATTTATAATAACTGTAAATGGAATATAACCTTTAAAAATTGTGAATCACTATCATTGTATGCTTGAAACTTACATAATATTGTACATCAACTATATCTCAATAAAAAATAAACAAAAAACCAATAGGGCATATACTTTGTAAACACTATTATATAGTTATTTTGTATCATACAAGAATAAACTTACTATTTGTGGCACAAAGATATGCAATAGAGTTAAAACTCAAAATCATAATATAACCACTCATCACTACTCATAAAATAAAAAGCTTTTTAAAATATGCACAAGAGTTTAATAATCTTTCCAGTGATAAAAATATAACTGTAGAAATGAAGTTAATAGAAGTTTCTTTTATTTCTGAGTAGTTGAAGGAGCATTCTATAACCTGAAAGCTTCATCTTTATTATTGCCAGGAAATTAAGCCATTAAAAAGATAGTATTGGATCTTATCCAGCTGAACTATCCAAAGACAAAATGGCCAGCAGAACATGTAAGGTTTACATTTAATTTTTTTTAATTAAGTGCTGGTTATTATTGAAGGAAAGCTTTTGAAACATTCTTATACAAATCTCTGTAGGAAAAAGAGGCAGAGTGATTGTGAAATCTTGCATCACGGGCTAGAATCAAAGTCTCAGAAATTCTTCTGGGCTAGAGGTAACCTTTACCAGCTATTGCCTTCACAAAAAGGAATGAATTACATACTAGCTTAGTGACAGATGTATAAACAAGAACCAAATTAAATATTTTGGTGTCAAACTCTTTTGAAGAAATTTCAGCCAGTGATATTGCATTATTTCTTCCATTTTAAAATTATTATAAGAAATCATTTCCAGTTTTCTTTAATTGGGCATGTGCTTCTCTTATTTCCTTAGCAGCTTGGAGTTTTCCAGAGCCTCTATATATTTACATGTTATCCCATAAAGCACCATCCTATAACAACCTGTTTGTTTTCTGGTTGAAGGAATTGGACACTGAACTGTTCCCTGAAGCAAGGCAACTGCCTCTCGACACGTCTGTTAAGGGTTATCATCTCCTGGAACCCATCTGAGCTCCTCAGGGCCTCTTACATAACAAGTACTCAAGATGCATTTGCTGAATTGACTAAGAAGCAGTCAATCAAAATCTTAGAAATGAAGTCAACGCTCATGTATTCTGGTACCAAAATCAATGAAACTCTTATATACTGATAGTGTTGCTAAAGACTATTTCTTAAAGTACCTTAAACAAATTACTTTTCTTAACCACTAATCCATGACTCAGTGAGGAAGATAAGGTGTAATTACAAAATAACTAATAACCAACATCCTGAAAGAGCAAGTAATTTCTTAGAAATTATTTGATCTCACATTTTTATATTTATTATGTTTAGTACTCCTTTTAGGTATTGTGTGCTAAGTTGCTTCAGTCATGTCCAATTCTTTGCGACCCCATGGAGTGGTAGCCTGCCAGGCTCCTCTGTCCATAGGGTTCTCCTGGCAAGAATACTGGAGTGGGTTGCCATTTTCTCCTCCAGGGGATTTTCCCAACCCAGGGATCGAACCCAGACCTCTTATGTCTCCTGCATTGGCAGGCAGGTTCTTTACCACAGCGCCACCTGGGAGGTTCTTTTTGCTCTTATTACTAGACACGATTTTTTGGGGGGTGATATTTTGTTCTCTTAAAACCAGACTATCACAAGGATGAGATGAAACATGATGAGATCACAAATTAAGGCAGTGGTCACACAGGTGGAGTAGAGGGAAAACATTTGTAATGCTGCAGGGGATAAAATCAATAAGGCTTAATGAGGGAGATAAAGAGGACTGGGAAATGTACATGATTCTGGCTCAGCAAGTAAATACAAGAATGGTGGTCTACTACTAATCAAGAGAAACAATAAGGGAGGGAGAAGAGGTCTGAAGAACCCAAGAGAAGAAGAACCCAAAATAATGAGTTCATTTTGGGACATCTTAGATATGAGGTACCTTATTACACAGCTGGAAATATGTATTCGAAATTCAGAAGAGAGTCTGGTTAGAGATGAGTCTTTAGGAATTATTGGCATGTGGGCTAATGAAAACCATAGTAATGGATGATGTCTTCCAGAGAGAGCTGGGCAGCAAATACTGAATGAAGAAATTATTGCTAAGGAAAGAGGCAGAGGAGCACTTGGAAAGGTAAGAGGAAAACCATGGAGTCATAAGGAGAGCATAGCCAATATGAGTTCAAGTAAGATAAGGACTCAAAAAAGTAATCACTGAATCTGAGAATTCGGAAGTCATTGATAACTTTAGAATGTACCATTTCAGTTGGATGGCTGGAGCAAAGTCACATTTCAGAAATGTGTGCATACTGGATAACCTACTTTGATACAACTCAGAAAATAGCACTCTAAAGATTAGATTAAAAGGGACCAGAAAATTGTCCAGCTCTCCCGTTCCATCTTTTCAGCTCTTACTATATGATGGTAACAGATGATTTTTCACTAGACTGATATAATTGAGCAGCCCCAGGTTTTCTTGCTGTTTTTCTACTTAATAATATCTCTGGCTTTGGGGATAATTGTGTTTAGAATTAAAAAGTTTCCTCCTGCTCTGAAGGCTTCCTTCTGGGGTGAGGGAGTAAAGTAAATCTCAAAGAACTGAGAACTTTATCTTTTATTCCTCCAACTGTCTATCTTTCCTTCTGGCTTTTGATCAGACTTTAGTCCAGGACTCTATACAAAAGAGGGACTAAATGAACAGTTATCGAATGATTAGTATATGGAGCCAACAAAGAAGCTTATCACCCTCAAATTCCAAATATGTGTGAATTAGTCTTTGAAGGCAAGACAAGCTAAGAATGTTCAGAGATTAATATACCACCCCACTCCCCACAAAATAAGACAAAGCTGGATCACCTTACATGGAGTTCTGTAATATTCTGTGGCTTTTGATGTGGCTATTCCAGACCATGTCTTGTAGTAATCACTAAATGAGACTGATTTAATTGATCTGAAAATACAAAATAAAATCAGGCAGTGAGTAGTATGCAAACTTGATTTTTAAAATTATTTTATCAGAGTGGACTCTTTCAGATGTTTTGTTATAAGCCATTAGTGTGTGTGTGTGTGTGTGTGCTAAGTCACTTCAATTGTGTCCGACTCTGCAACGCTATGGACTGTAACCTGCCAGGCTCCTCTGTCCATGGGATTCTCCAGGCAAGAATACTGTTACACCCTCTTCCATGGAATCTTCCCTACCCAGGAATTGAACCCGTGCCTCTTTATGTCTCCTGTACCAGCAGGTGGGTTCTTCACCACTAGTGCCACCTGAGAAGCCCCCACAAACCATTAGGCTGATCTGCAAATTCTAGCATGGTTATTTCTAACAAACAAATCTAACATAATTTTCCACTAATACATGAAAATCACAAAAAAGATCTGCCCAAACCAGTTTTTAATAATAAGTATAAATATGCATCCATGTGTATATTATAAAAAGAAAAAAATTAGGTTTAATATAACTGCCTTTTGTGACTAACAGTAAAAAGAACTTTAAATAAAGTATCACAGCTGTATATTTTCTCTTTCTACAATAAACAACTTTCTTACATTTCTATGCTGAATTTTAGTAAAATTACCTTTATTTCTTTTTTATTACGAGGAGAAAGGAAACACCAGAATTGATATTAGTTTAATTTTTATACAGAAATCTGATCACTTCCAAAGAGGGAAAATAAACAACTCTTTTCTAATATTACTGCCAGCACATTTCCTTCCTCTGTGCTAATGTTACCAAATCCTAATGGAAGAGCAAAAACTGCTACAAAGCATTAACAGGAATTATGAAACAGTCTCTTACTCTTAGATAACTGCATTTCTGATTTTTTTCCTACAAACATTTTGAATGCAGGGATTCTCAATACTCTATAAACAAAACACTACTTTCAGATAATTTTTAGACATGTGAAATCATCAATTAACTGGCTTAAATGGATGCTTAAACATCAAATGTAAAAGACCTTATGTCTGTTTTAAATTCCTAGCTCTGGAGGAAGAAGCAAATTTTCAGTTATAATAGGTTATTAGTATTAATTTTTATAGGTAAATCATAGGTGCTTAAATATTTGACTCAATTTTGAAAGTAATAGGGCAATACCTGAATGTGTTAATGCATTTATTTATTTAAATATTATTATTTAAATTATTTAAATATTTATTATGTAATAATATTTAATATTTAAATAATATAATATTTACTAAATATAATGTTTACTATTTAATAAATAATTTAGTAAATTTATTTAATTTAGTAAATATAGTAAATAGTAAATTTAGTAAATATAATATTTACTATTTAAATAATAATATTATTTAAATAGTAATTACGGACATCTAAATTTCAAGGCTAACATTTTTCAAGTGTGCTATTGCATCTGTAATCACACTTAAGTAGAAACCTGAAACTTGGTGAAGATAAATTAATCACTACTACTATTGCTTCCAGAGCTACACTCAGCTCTTTATACTACTAAATGATATACTAAACTAACATTAACTTGCCAACAAAATGTTTCGGCATTTGGCAACGGAGGTAACAAAATGAAAGACTGCATTATATCTCCTGCATGAAAAAGCTTGTGATCAATCTGCTGTCACAGATCATTTAGCAGACAACAATGACCCAAGAGGAAGGAAACTGTCAACATACTGTCTCGTGAAAAAAAAATACACCATCTTCAGGCACAATCGTCTCCATTGTTTTTTGTCTGCTTGAGGACGACCCATGACCCTCTCCCTTCCCAATGGTGTCCTGTTCAATTTCAAGCTGTTAGCCTTCAGGTGCTTTCTTTTCTTCCCCTGGAATAATTAAAAATATTATCCTAAAAGGTACAACTTTAGCATAGTGTGAATATACGAAATGGAATGTCTTGGACACTTGGGAATATCTGCACCTTCAACTCTATAAATAACCCCTTCAAATAAGAGAACAATAATTATTTACTATTATTATTCAGATAAACTACTAATGGATAGATGCAGCGTAAAAATACCTATGTTTATAGTTTCAACCAATAGTAGGAATTTACTGAGTATTATTTTTGGCATTAAGAATACGAAAAAGTAGAAGACATTATTTTAAACTGAACATCAGGGTTTATTATCCTGTTGGGAAAATAAGATATATACCTGAACTATTAAGTAGAATAGCTTTATATATTAACATAATAAATGGTCACATCATTTAACAGACATTTGGAGACTATGGTGAAAAATCTGTCTTTGGCAGTGGCAATAAGGAAGAAAGTTGGAGGAGGGAGCTGTAACTTTATTTTGGAGCCACTTGGGAAAGAGTCACTTGGAAATAGACCTGGGACAAAGGAAGGAGGCATTTTAGGGAAACAGTATTAACAATAGCTTAGATGGCAAGGAGTATGGTGTGTTCATGCCTATATAGAGAGGATGCCGGGGGACGAGGTGATAGTAACAAGATAACTGACCAGAGGGAAAAGTTCCAATTTCAGAGGAATTGGCATTTAATTAAAAAATAGGTGAAGCGAGGCAATGAGAGGTCTTCAAATTTAGGCAGAGAATGGATTAGAGTTGATTCAGTAATCTTGATTTATTAGGTGATAGAGAGTAATCAGAAGTTCTCAAATAAGGCAAGTAAACTAAGAAATCAGTGTTTGAGCAAGAGTTTTCTCTAGCACTAGCATGCAGAGTAGATTATATGAGAGATTAAATGCAAGAGGACCAGTTAGGAAATAAATTCAGTAACTTAGGCAAGAGATCCTGAGAGCCAATACTAGGGTGGGAGCAAAGATTATGAAGGGGAGGAGATGAATTTACGAGAATGCTAAAGAACTGACTGAATCAGCTGCCTGATAGAGTGTGAAAAGTAAAGGAATTTGAGGGTCACATATTCTCCTAAAACCCAGAAGGCCAGTTATTTTTGCTATTAATAGAAAGTGTCCAGAGAAATTGAAGTAAAATATGAGTTTAATTTTAAACATGGGTTGTAGGTGATGACCTCTAGGAGTGTGATTGAGAAATTGGGACTGGAAATAAGAGATTTAGGTCAAATCAACATAAAAGTTGATAGATGACACCATTAGGGAAAACAAACTCCAAAAGAATAAGTGTTTAGAAAAGAAAGGGCAGAAACCAATTCATAGTTAAGGGGCAGGGGGCGGGGAGTGAAGGAAACCAAAAGGATCATTCAGTTCAGTTCAGTTGCTCAGTCGTGTCCTACTCTTTGCGACCCCATGAATGGCAGCACACCAGGCCTCCCTGGATCATTAAAGGAAGAGAATCATGGTAGCCCTATTTCATGCAAGCAACACCCCAGCCATTGCCAAAGCCTAACGACTAAATACTTAAATATCTCTGGATAGGGAATGGAGAATGGTACAGTTTTTTTGTAAGACAGCATGGTGGTTTCTTACAAAACTAAACATACTCTTACCACACAATGCAGCAATAACACTCCTTGGTATTTACCCAAAGGAGCTGAAAACTTAAGTGCACACAGAATCTTATATGCAGATGTTTACAGCAGCTTTATTCATAATTGCCAAAATGTAGAAGCAACCAAGATTCCATCAATGAGTGAATGGATAAGTTAAGTGGTATATATTCAGACAATGGAATATTATTCAGCACTAAAAAGAAATTAGCTAATAAGCCATGAGTACTTCTCTGATGGCTCACTGATAAAGAATCTGCTTGCCAATGTAGAAGATACTTGTTTGATCCCTGCATCGGAAAGATCTCCTGGAGATGGAAGTGGCAATCCACTCCAGTATTCCTGCCTGGGAAATCCCATGGACAGAGGAGCCTGGCAGTCTACAGTCCATGGGGTCGAAAAAGAGTCAGATACAATTAGCAACTAAAACAACAACAACAAATAAATCATGAAGATCAACAAGTTACCTAACCTCTTCACGTTTTCAGAGACAGAATTTTCTCCAGTGGTGGTTGTGAGCATTCAATGAAAGCATGCATGAAGAGAGTCAACGAGGGGTTCAGCACCCCTCAGCACCCAGTGTCAGCTGGTCTTCTCACTGCCTTGGATAAGTACCTCATCACTTTTCTCCTGCAAACTCCAAATAGCCTCCTAATTGTTGTTCTACCTCGTGCACGCGTACGCAGTCACTTCAGTCATATCTGATTGCTCTGCTTTGGTCTCTCCCTATTCCAGGTTACCATGTCTCTGCTTGGAAGCCACAGTAGGTTATCTACTTCTATAGGATGACATCGAAAAACTTCTACATAGAATTCGAGGCAGTTCATCATCTGGCCATTTCCAACCTTTTCTCCCATCATTCATCCTCACATCCAGAGGCTCCACCATATGGAACTGTTTCCTGATGATCCTTAGTGTACCACAATCTTACGCATGCATGTCTGTGCAAGCAGTTCTATTAGAGACTCTTTTGCCCTCTGTGCCTGTCAAAGTCATACTCACTAAGATTCAGGCCCAATAAAACTAATACATACACGAAGGTTGTTACACTGGATATTGTGGTTGCCTCCCCAAAAGCTGTTCCATTCTTCTCCCATTCCTTACATGCCTTGTGGTCTGATATGGGGACTGGATCTTACCACTGGCTCTAAATCAGGACCTCAGTGATAACTGGCATAGGGACAGGAATCTGACCTGAATAGCTCCAATAACAGTACAATTTATTCTAGTTTACTAGTATGTCCTTGTCTCTGAGACTGTCGATCCTCTTTGTTCTTCTTCAAGACTGCCGTGTTATTTTAAACCCTTCGTATTTCTAGATACATTTTAGACCACCTTATCAATTGCCAGGAAAAAAATAAGGCTGTTGAGATTTTGACTGACAGTGAACTGAATCTACAAATGGGAAGAACTGATACTGTAATAATATTGAGTCTTTCCTAAATGGTAAACATTGTCTATCTCTATTTCTTTAGGTCTTGAAAAAAATCCTCCCATATATATTTTGTGATTTTCAGTATAAATGTCTTACTCATCTTTTGTTATTTTGATCTGTTGCAATGGTATTTTTAAAGTTTCATTTTTATGTTGATTGCTCGTATATAAAAATAGTTAATTTTTGAATATTCATCTTCTAGCTAAGATCCTTGCTAGATTTACTTACTAATTTTCAAACTTTAAAGTTTGTATATTCTTTTGGATTTCAATATGTATATAATTGGGTTATCTGTGAATACAAATGGTTTACTGTATTCTTTCCAAATTTTATAACTTTTGTTTTTCTTCCCTCATTGCACTGGCTAGGATTCCAGTACAATGTCGGATAGAAACGGTGATAATGTGGATACCTGTCTTGCTCCTAAACTCGGGAGAAAAGGATTAAACATTTCACATTTAAGTGTGAGGTTAGCTGTTAGATTTCTGTTCAATTCCGTTCAGTCACTCAGTCATGTCCGACACTTTGTGACCCCACGGACTGCAGCACGCCAGACTTCCCTGTCCATCACCAACTCCTGGAGCTTACTCAAATTCATGTTGGTGATGCCATCCAACCACCTCACCCTCTGTCGTCCCCTTCTCCTCCTGCCTTCAATCTTCAAAGTATCAGGGTCTTTTCCAATGAGTCAGTTCTTCGCATCAGGTAGCCAAAGTATTGAAACTTCAGCTTCAGCATCAGTCCTTCCAATGAATATTCAGGACTGATTTCCTTTAGGATTAACTGGTTTGATTTCTATAGATTCCCTTTATTGAAATAAGGAAATTCTCTTCTATTCCTAGTTTGGTGAGAATTTTTATCATGAATGAGTGTTAATGATTTCTTCTAGATTAACAGAGATAATTGTTTTTATTTTTCCTTTATTTGGTTAACTGAGTTACAAGCATTGATTTTCAAATTTTAAACCAATCTGGCTTTCCTGAAACAAAGCTCACTTAGTCATCATGTACTATCCCTTCTTTATATATCAGAGGGTTTAATTTGCTACTATTTTGGTTAGGATTTATACATTTCAGGTTTATGAGAATACTGACCTATAATTTTCCTTTCTTGCAATGAATTCTGATTTTAGAATCAGAGTTTGGAAGTTTGGTAACATATTCACTGTCTCTATTTACTGGAAGAGTTTGAATGCCTTTTTAAAAAAGATTTTATTTGAAGTAACTTTAGAACTTTAGAAGTAACTTTAGAAGAGTTGTAAAGTTAGTTGAATACCTTTAAAATTAGCTTTGTTAAAGTATAATTTACATTCAATAAAATGTGTAAGTGTTGAGTACAGATTGATGAGTTTTGATAAAAACATGCCCCTGAATAACCATAAGCCCAAACAAGTTACAGAATATTTTCACTAGTCCTGAAAGTTCCCTACTGCCCCTTCCCAGTTACGCTCCCTTGACACTTTGGGTTATCACTGATCCAGTCTCTGTCACCACAGATGAGTCTCTCCTGTCCTAGACTTCATACAAATTGAACTCTACAAAACACACTCTTTTATTACTGAGTTCCCCCCCCCCCAACATAATGCCTGTATTACTATTCCATGTTGTTGCATGTATCAACAATTTTAATGCTGAGAATATTCAGTTTATAAATACAACACAATTTATTTATATATTCAACTGCTGAATACATAATATTGACTGTTGATAGACATTTTAGTTGTTTTCAGTTTGGGATATTACAAGTAATCTCCTATGAACATTTGTATACAAGTCTTTTGTGAATATATACTTTTATTTCTTTTAGGCAAATACTTAGGAGTGGGTTAGAGGGCAGGTGAACCTTCGACATGACAAGAAACTGCTAAACTGTGTTCTGAACTGGCTGTGGGCAGTCAATAGGCATAGCAACATAGGAGCGCTACAGTATAATCACAGCTTCATCAATAACTGGGATTGTTAGTTTAAGCCAGTAGTGTGATCTTCCAATCTCCCCCATCTTAGTAAGTCACTGTGGTACCCATCCAGTTCAAGCCACAATCTATTACTAATCCTTGATTCTACTTTCTCTCTTGCCCCAAATAAGTCAAGCTAAAGCCTTGAATCCAACCATTTCATCCACTTATCTCCCACTCCACATTTATGCCCTTAGCCCTAGCCCAAGACACACATCTTTCCCTGTAAATTCCTTACCTAGTTTATAAAGCCCTATCTACATCTCTTACTCCCTCCATACCCATCTCTTCTTCTCTCTTGCTGTGTTCCAGCTGCAGTGGCCTTCTTTCTGATCCTCTAACACATTTGTGTGCATGCTCAGTCCCGTCCAGCTCTTGGCAACCCCATGGACTGCAGCCCGCCAGGCTCCTCTGTCTACAGGATTCTTTAGGCAAGAATACTGGAATGGGTTGCCATTTCCTCCTCCAGGGGATCTTCCTGACCTAGAGATCAAACTGGTGTCTCCTGCACCTCCTGCATTGTCAGGCGGATTCTTTACCACTTGAGCCACCTAGGAAGCCCTCCACCACACCTTGCTCACATCCAATACTCAAATAGTCAATACTCTAGCTATTCCCTCTGCCTAGAATCTCACTGTACCTATAAGACATTATTCTCTCCTCACTTTTCACTTCTTTTTTTCCCTTTCAATGTCATGAATCTTGATTTTCCAAGAAGATACCAACTACAAGTTGATCTCAGTATGGTTCTTGAATCATTTCTGAATACAGTTCTAGTGAACTCTTTCTTCCAGGGTCCAGATTTTATAGTCCTGTGATTGGTGCTGGATCCTCACGGTGCTGTCTGGTTACCCTGCTGCCTGTCTGATGAGGGACTCAGAGCCCCAGACAAAGAACCAAAGGGCCCAAGTTTCCTCCCTGTAACAGGGTTTCCCCTTCTTCATGCTCCTGCCTGGGACAAATGCCACCATTGCTACTGGCTGGGCTTCATCTCAGTGCTGGGGGACAGACGAGGTCAGTGCTCTTGCTGTCATGTTCCAATGAACCATTTCGTCAGTTGTTCTAGGTCTTCTCCTTCTGAGCTTCTAACACTTCCAGGCACAGAGCCCCTTGGTACAACATTGTTTCACATTCTGGGGGAGAAGGCAATGGCAACCCACCCCAGTACTCTTGCCTGGAAAATACCATGGATGGAGGAGCCTGGTGGGCTGCAGTCCATGGGGTCACTGTGAGTCAGGCATGACTGAGCGACTTCACTTTCACTTTTCACTTTCCTTCATTGGAGAAGGAAATGGCAGCCCACTCCACTGTTCTTCCCTGGAGAATCCCAGGGACGGGGGAGCCTGGTGGGCTGCCGTCTATGGGGTCACACAGAGTCGGACATGACTGAAGCGACTTAGCAGCAGCAGCAGCACACTCTGGGACAGAGTCTGGACCTGAGTGTTCCTTTTTGATTTCAGTTTTGGGGGAACATTTTATACTGTTATTAATCCACTAAGAGGATCCTTGTTCTGGAGCATGTACAGTATAAAACCAAGATAAAATAAGTATTATTTCAGCACTAGTAAGTTGACTATTTTCTATGTAGAAATAGTCTGGCTGACTATTAAACTAAGGCTGATGCAAATGTTAGAGAACCTAACAGCTGCAGAACCCACACCTCCAAGCGTTCAAGGTCACACTGTCAGGTGGTCTCCCAAGTGCACGATGGCTTCAACCCTAACTCTCACCATTTCACTCCAAGACTTATTCTTTTCCTAAACTGCTTGGATTTTTATGATCTAGAATGGTCAGGCTATAATGTAGACAATGGGCTTTTTTTTTCCTTTTCAGAAATAAAAAATAAAAGACCAGGCAACTAATATAGTTACATTCAAAGTTAATTAAATATTCTAGAAAGAACTCAAGATTTTCACATTCTTCCTGGAAAAAAAAATCATTTTTAAAAGGTATTGGAAGGGAAGATACATTTAAATGGAATAATTTTTCTAAGTCAAAAAATGAAAATACAATTATGATAGAAAATACAGTTTAAGTCAATAGTTCTTTTAGTGTATAAACTGGCATAGAACTGTATAAAGGAAAACTTACCTGTTAAGTTTATCTGGCTCTTTTGGCAATTCAGAACCATCATCTTTCGCTATAAAGAAAAATATGAAAAGATTCTGAATATATGGCCCTATGTGCATTCTTTCCAAAGCCCCAGTAAGATAGTAAGAAAGGAATAAAAATAAGGTGTATGGAGAAGGAAATGGCAATCCACTTCAATATTCTTGCCTGGAGTATACCCATGGACAGAGGAGCCTGGTGGGCTACAGTCCATGAGGTCGAAAAAAAAAAAAATAAGGTGTAAAATCTCAAGAAGAGCAAAAGAAAGATGGCAAGAAAAATGTTCAAGATAGAAAGCAGATGTCAAGTGGTAACTATCTTAACAGGTCATAGAAATTTGAAACCTAATGACATGATGAAAGAAGGCCAATAAAAAGCAAATAGATTTACACTTCAGAACTTGAGAAACAATTTAGGAATTGGAGGTACCAGATAACCCTGAAAGGTGAAATGTATAGTGTGGATACCAAAGACATAGCCTTCATCCTATACAACCAGATGACCACTGCTGCCTAGGCAGGAGAGAAGATACCTTATTCTGGAGAGACTGAGCCAGAGAGATTCAGGGGACAGCAGAACAAGAGCGTGGTAAGGGACTGATGACAGAGAATAAATCAAACAGATCATACCGAATAAGCAATATTCCTTACTCTCTCTCCTTGTCCAGCTCCTAGAGTGTAAGTAGTTAACCTTTCTTTCTTCAGGCATATGACTGGAGGATTCATCTCAGAAGAAACAGTTAAACCTAGCTAATGGTAAGGTCAGAGCCTCAGTGAATGATCCTATAATGAAACAAAACCATCAGCAAGTCTAGTCTGTATCCAAAATTTCCAGTCTTTTCAATGAACGACTGTCATTCATCATTTTCATTCATCATTCAATGAATGATTTTCACACATTATACAGATGCACAGTTAAAGGTAGGTAGATAATTGAGTAAAGTCCTTATTTTGAATGATAACAACAATAATAAACAGGAAAAAATAGAAATGAGAAACATACTTTTCTGGACATTTTCCAGAATACAGAACAAAAAACAGAGAGAAGGATAATTGGAGAAAATAGATTTTTTAAAAAGGTTGCATAACAGATCAGTAGATCCGACATCCAAATCTTTGGAGATTTAGAAGAGAGAACAGGGAAACTGGAGGGGAAGGGAATTATAAAAGAAATCAAATGAGAAAAAAGTCCAAAACTAAAGAATTAAGAGTTTGAGATTCAAACAGTGTATGAAATGCCCTACATGATGAATGAGGAGGAAAAAAAATGAAATTATATCCAGAAATACTATCAAGAAATTTCAGATCACTGGGAATAAAGAGAAGATTTTAAAAGCTTCCACTGAAAATAAGTCACATGTGGAGAAGCAGACATCTGCATGAAAGCAGATTTCTTAAGGGTAATACTGGAAACTAGTCTTTACAATTCTGAAAGAAAACTATTTTCAAACTAAAGTTTAACCAAATTATGAACATATCAGAGTGGAGTGAATACCTTTTTAGGCATGTGAAGTAATGAAAGATTTAGTGCTCTTGTACTAGAAAGCTCCTGGCAGAAGTGTTTCAACAAAATAAAGGAGCAAACCAACCCGGAGGAAAAGGAGAGCTCCCATTCAATAGGTGGCAGAACGGTCTTCACAGGATTCCTGTGAGAGAACTGCCCTTTCAGAACTGGAAGAGGAGGATGAGTGAGCGCCTCAGCAAAGGCGTTTCCCAGGGAAAAAAACAAACTGAATACCAAAACTGTTCTTCGCGGTTTTGTCAGAAAGTTTGGGGGAAGAATAAATGGTAGATATTCTTCCAAAACACAAACCAAAATAAATCCAAAAAACAAAACCAAGGGAATAAAAATACAGGCCATTTGTCCAAGAAAAGAAAAGTCAGTCATGGCTCATCTGTGAAGAATATTTACTAAGTCATATCAATGTAAATGAATGATACTGGGAGAATGGGGGAGAGAAAATGTGAGTGGAAATGGCACCATAAAATTTCTACCTTTATCTTTCAGAAGAAGCCCATGAGACATATCTAAACTGAAAATCCTAGAATTTTAGTATGGAATGCACTTAGAAATACAGTGGTAATTCCAAAAGAAACAGCTAAATGTGTTGAAAGCTGTTGGTACCTTGTGGGGGGTGGGGGCAGCTTTTAGTTATAGATGGTGGGGCTTACAAGTCTGCTGTATTTCCTTAAACACTGATTTGGATTATTTGTCCTTTAAAGCTATGAACAAATACTTCTTTGATAGAAAATAGATACTTAAGATTTTTAGTAAAACTGCTTTAAAACTTTACTTAACAGTTATTGGACTATCCAGTGCAATGAAGTACAAGCAGGAAAAATGAGGTTGGTAACCTCAGCAAATAGATCCACATACACTACCCCTGTTAAAGCCACAATTTTTACATTGCCTGACATCTGTAGACAGCAGATCTATCTGTGATAATACTGTAATCATCAACAACAAAATTATGGTTGAATGATGGTGCTAAAAGCTCATGTTCCTTAATTAGCAAGTTATACTACTGGACTAAATTTCTCCCTCCTGATATTCAGAAAGAATGTTTTTCCAGAGGAAACAGAATTCTTATAGGAATACTCAACAACCAATATTCCCTTTGAAGAAAAAAAAAATCACCTGAAATTCTGAGACATCATCTGCTTCAGCTGTAGAAACAAGTTTCTTTAAAACTTGTCTATTGCAATGGGGACTTTAAAAAGAACAGTGAACCAACTGAGAACTTAAACTGAAGAAGAATCAATGCTTATCACATCTTCCTCATTGTAAGCAGGATGGGATGTATTTGCGCAATCATCATGTGTTTTTTTTTTAAGTTTTTTTTTTAAGCACTACATAATGTGAATTAGTAGTATAATCTCCCTAATATTTCTATAATTCTTCTCTATTCTTGTATTTTGACTGTCAGTAATTAAATTACAGTTTATTTAGATAAGAATCTGAAACTTAGTAGAATGACACTTCTTTAACAAAAGCTAAAGGAATATGCCTAGCTAAGAGAAAAATTATTACCTTAGGTTTGGCTACTATTATTTATCTTTATATTCTTATACATTTTGTTTCAACCAAAGATTTTTTTAAATTATATGAACTCTATATTTTGAATAGGGCTTCCCAGGTGGCTCAGTGGTAATCCACCTGCCAATGCAGGAGACACAGGAGATGCCAGTTTGATTCCTGGGTTGGGAAGATCCCCTCCCCTGGAAGATCAAATGGCTACCCACTTCAGTATTTTTGCTGGGGAAATCCGATGAACAGAGAAGTCTGGTGGGCTACAGTCTACGGGGTTGCATAGAATCGGACACAACTGTATGAGTATGCATGCATGCATGCTTTAAATATCAAAATAAACATGATAAACAAAAAATAATTTGACCATATTACCACACAGAAATAAAAACTCACTGGGACAAACTGAAAAAAAAGACAAGATGTATGAACTTACAGTAGTTCCCCATTATTGGCAGGGGATACCCTCCAAGCCCCCGAGTGGTGCTTAAGAACATGGACAGTATGAAACACTATATACATTATACTATGTTTTTTTCCCTATACATACATACTTATGATGAAGTTTAATTTGTAACCTAGGCACAGTAAGAGGTTAACAAGAATAATAATAAGACAGAACAACTGTTAACAACATACTGCAAGAAAAGTTATGTGAATATGGTCTCTTTCTCTCTCAAAATATCTTGGACAAATTTAATGTCTTATTTCCATCTTAACTAAGCACTTATGCTTTATGGCCATATCTTTTGCAGTCTGAGGTATGACAGCAAAATTAGCATGGATTTCTTTTTCCTTCTTCATAATTTCATGGATAGAAGATTTGTTCCTACTGTTAATCTTAGCAACCTCAGATATGATATTTTTTCTTACTAAGTTGAGAACTTTCACTTAAAGGAAGCACTTTATGCTTGACATGTGTGAATGGCCAGCAGCACCACTCTTGTGCTTTGGGGCCATGATTAAGTAAGGGTCACTTGATCAGAAGTACTAAGATACCTCAGATATCAGACAGCTCATTTGATAACACAGATGGCTACTAAGTGACTAACGGGTGAGAGATGCTGAACAAAGAGAAGACTCACATGCTAGGCAGGATGAAGCTGGATGGCAAGAGATTTCATCATGCTACTCAGAATGATGCACAATTGAAAACTCATGAATCATTTATTTCTGGAATTTTCCATTTAATACTTTTAGATCAAAATTGACTACAGATGGCTAAAAATAGAAAGTGAAATGGTAGATAAGGGGGGACCACTATATATGAAATACCTTTGTAACAAATTAGAAAGTCTCTAATTTACTCAGAATCTAGGAGGCAACACAGTTATGTTATACATTGTCTTCTTCCAGACCTCCAAGTTTTCATAAACAAATTGAAGTATAACTGGGGAGGTACTTGAAAAATCCCCTTGTCCAACTCCTGACACTGGGCAAAATATTCTTTGACAAAAGCCCTGAAAATCAAGTCATTAAGCTCTGCCAAATGAATGAAAGCTATGAAAGCATACCTTCAGTGATAGGGAGTTTACCACCTGTCAACACTGTCTTGCCCATTCATAAGCGACTCGGTTAGAAAATCCTTCCTTGCTATTATAAACAGTGCTGCGATGAACATTGGGGTGCACGTGTCTCTTTCAGATCTGGTTTCCTCGGTGTGTATACCAGAAGTGGGATTGCTGGGTCAAGCAGATGAATTGATAAGGAAGCTGTGGTACATATACACCATGGAATATTACTCAGCCATTAAAAAGAATTCATTTGAATCAGTTCTAATGAGATGGATGAAACTGGAGCCCATTATACAGAGCGAAGTAAGCCAGAAAGATAAAGACCATTACAGCATACTAACACATATATATGGAATTTAGAAAGATGGTAATGATAACCCTATATGCAAAACAGAAAAAGAGACACAGATGTACAGAACAGACTTTTGGACTCTGTGGGAGAAGGCGAGGGTGGGATTTTTCCAGAGAACAGCATCGAAACATGTATATTATCTATGGTGAAACAGATCACCAGCCCAGGTTGGATGCATGAGACAAGTGCTCGGGCCTGGTGCACTGGGAAGACCCAGAGGGATCAGGTAGAGAGGGAGGTGGGAGGGGGGATCAGGATGGGGAATACATGTAAAGCCATGGCTGATTCATGTCAGTGTATGACAAAAACCACTACAATATCGTAAAGTAATTAGCCTCCAACTAATTAAAATAAATGAAAAAAAAAAAAAAGAAGAAAATCCTTCCTTGTGTTTGGCCGGCTGGGACCTGCTGGATGGACTTTCCCATGAGGGATGCTGCAAATGCAACATCTAGGAAGATCAGCTAACCCAACTGACTGTAACTCAGTGCCCAAACTGGAATGAAGAGAGTGAAGGGAGAGTGAAGGGAGAACTCAACATAATTACCCCAGGACTGCTCCAGGTAGTCTGCTATGTGTGAGCACACAAACTGTAAGTAACGGGGTCAGAGTCCAGGCCACAGGAGAAGAGGCTGCCGAGACACGGGAAGGTCATCAGGATCTCCAACAGCTGGGTTTGAGCTCACAGCTTGTGCATTTTTGTCAGTCCACCAAGGTAAAGACCTAGCTCTTCAGGTACACAGCAGATGGTAGGCAAACTTGGGGAAATGAGAGGCACTGGCATGTCTACCTACCAAACAGGAGTCTTAGGCTTAGGATAACAAAATTAATTCCAGACCACTAATTATGAGAATAAAAAAAAAGTCCCTGGTGTATTCAAGGTACAAATAGGGCAAAACCTGTATATCATGGACATCAGTGGCTACAATCTACCAGTCCTGGGGAAGATATGACTGACTTGTAGCTTCAATATTAGTCTGATATTAGTATCCTGGAGCAACGGAGAAGAAATTTCCCTTCTCTATATGAAATCCCTTCAAATATTTGAAAATGGATTTTACAACTGCCTTTTAGCTCTCCTTCCACTAGCTAAATGTACAGTTTCTTCATCACAGGAAATGTGAGGCTCCAAGTTGAGCATGCTTGGATGAGGGCACAGCAAACCAGAGTCAGGAAAGCTATCATCTTAACACATGCTTGGTAAATTATTATTAATTATTATTCACATTAGGCTTCTGTTCAAAGGGCTCTCTGATAATTTTTCATAGATTAATGTTCTGCTATGAAGTCAGGTCTCTTCTCTTCTGTATTTGGAAATTTTAATTCTTTGATCCCAAATGGATGACTTTATGTTCATTGCATTAAATTGGAGGTTTTCATTGCATTACCCCATTGGAGGGGCAACGGGAATATCCAGGTTGGCTCTCTGGCCTTGTAGCTTAGCTGTGTGCCCTTGGGCTAATCCTTTTATTACTGAACCTCAGCTTCCTCACTGAGGAAGAGGCTGAGGATCAGACAGATAAAATGCATGTGAAAGCACTTTGTAAACTATGAAGTAAAATCAGGATCCGAGTTTATGCATTGCCAATGTTGCTGAAGCCTAAAATTAATGCCTACAGAGATGATACAGTTAGCTGCCTCTCGAGTTTCTCATGTATGTAATTAATTATCTGCTCCAGTTCTGTGTTATCTAAGAATGAGATAATAATTTCTTCTATGTACTTTCTAGACCTCTTTATTAATATATGAAATGAATATGAGATCTGATTCTTGCAGTAATGTAGTAGAGACCTTTTTTTCAAGTCATTGAAGTGAAAGTGGCTCAGTCATGTCTGAATCTTTGCAACCCCACGGTCTATACAGTCCATTGAATTCTCCAGGCCAGAATACTGGAGTGGGTAGCTGTTCCCTTCTCCAGGGGATCTTCCCAACCCAGGGATCAAACCCAGGTCTCCCACACTGCAGGCAGATTCTTCACCAGCTGAGCTACCAGGGAAGCCCAAGAATACTGGAGTGGGTTGCCTGTCCCTTCTCCAGCAGATCTTCCCGACCCAGGAATCGAACCAGGGTCTCCTGCATTGCAGGCAGATTTTTACCAGCTGAGCTACCAGGGAAGCCCAATTCATTATAGGTAATTAATTCTCACTGGATGTTGTTTTTCACAGAAATTCACATGGTACAATACGACCATCTAATTTAGAGTAATTTTAGTGACAGACCATCTAATTTAGACGGTTTTTTGCACTTTATTTTCCACCATAGCAGCTGCTTCTGCTACATTACAGCAGTCTTTCCCTACGAAGCTGCAGAAAATAATTTTCTTCCTGGCACTAAAGGTACTACTCCAGTCCTGCTGTGAGGGCAGGCAAGCTGAAAAACTATTCACTGTCTTGGATTTCCACATATTTCACCAACACACATAAAGCAAACCGTGAAAACCTGCCAAAGCACTATCTGCTTTGTCGCTCATTTGTTCGGTGATTTGGCAACCTGGACAGCTTTCCTGTCTGGGTTGATGGCAAAGCTGGGGGACTGAAAGGAGTGAAGGGTGACACTGCCCTGAGAGAAAAGAAGAAAAGAAAGGGCCAGCTTGTCTTCCAGTTTCTTCTCATCCTTCTCTTTCAGGCTAAAACCAAAATCTAATGCACAGAATCATTTATCATGAAAATTCTTTACAACCAGTTCTTAAATTTCCATTCACCAGAATATGAATATAGCTTTGTATAGAATATTCTTGTGCAAGGATGGTACTGTAGGGGTGATGAAAGATTAAGGGATATGTATCATTCATTTGCTCATTCCACAAACATTTCCTGAGTGGAGAGGATACAGCGAGGGAATACTACAGATTCTGGTTGGTCAGAAATATGATCAGTGTGAAGAAGTACCATTCCTCTGTGGACACACCAGCCTTAAAATTGTTAAGAGAATTCTGAAGAACTCTGCGACAATCATGACATATTTGAAGATGCTGAAAAAGATGCCTGATCAATACTGCATCAGATTCAGATGCTCTGCAGAAAAGCACTTGAACTTCAATGCAAATTCTACACATTCAATGGACTGGCAGGTCCCAGAAGGGGAAAGAAGAGACCATGGACATCTAGTGAAGAGAAGAAGCACAAGAGAGATCAGTCTGGAAGAGTGAGCCTGAGCAGCAAGGCCTGCTGATTGGGGAGGTCACAAGGCCAGTTGGGTACCGCTGAAAGGAAGGGCAGATTGTAGAGGAAAATGCTATGTCACCAGGAGCCCAACCCTCACCAGTGGCTAACCCCTCTGGGCAAGAGGAGCCAATAGCTTTGCTCTTCTCATTGCAGAGAAAGCAAAGGAGCCATGGAGGTGATGGAGCTAAGAGTTACGAAAGGGCTGTTGGTAAGAAGAGAGTGAAGTGACCAAGGGTATCGGAAAAACACTGGTCAACAGAACAGAAGGGCTGCAAAGCCTCAGTCATTTCCACGTGGATTCTTTGAGGGAAAACCTAGAAGGGGACCTCTCTAGAAAAAAAAAATGCTGACAGTTTTCCTAACCAAGGGGAAAGGAGTCTCAGATTAGTAAGATCTGGTGGTTACTGAGGGTGAAGTCTGAGAAACAGCTACTATAGATCAGAGAGTTAAAAACTGGTGTCATATCTTTATGACATGGGCACCATTTATCCATATGACCATGACATTTAAAGATATTAAGATTGCAATTTTTGATAATTAAAAAACAGGATCACACTAAACCAAACGGAGAAAGACAAATATGATACTGCTTATATGTGGAATCTTAAAAAATGACAGAAATGAACCTATATGCAATGTAGAAATAGACCTACAGATATAGCAAACAGACTTGTCATTACCAAAGGGGGAAGCAGGGGTAAATTAGGAGTTTGGGATTAACATATATACTCGACTATACATAAAATACATAATCAGTAAGGACCTACTGTACAGCACAGGGAATTAAACTCAATATTTTATAATAACCTATGAGAGCAAAGAATCTGAAAAAACACATATATAAAATAGATAAATATATGTGTATAACTGAATCATTTTGCTGTACATCTGAAACCAACACAACGTTGTAAGTCAATCATACTTCACTTAGAAAAAGAAAGGATGACACAGGCGGCTTTGACACAGACACAACAGGAAAGATCTCAGTATGACTTCATTACTGAAAATGGATACAGAAAATATTGCAAGTTACTTGCTAGATCATTTACTTGCTATGAATAATTAATACTTGGCAAGTAACAATAAGTAGTCACTTCTTACATGGTAACGGCTGGTGGAAAAGTCGTAGAATTATTAGTCTGTACAGAGTTTCATCTTTCATCAGTATATGGGCTGCTTCCAAATTCACTGGATTTTCTAGAACTGGATTAGAAAGCATAACCTATAGGAAAACATATAAAACACAGAATTTTTAAAGCGGCTTTTTTTCTTAGGGGAAAAAGACAAACCAGTACATACAACATTCAGGAAGCATTTATAAATGCTTACAATGTGTTCACCTGGAGACAAAGACAAATGAGACATGGTCCTTACTCTCAAGACAATCATGATCTATCTTGGTTTTATACTGTACATTCATGAGCCAAACATTAGGATCAAAGCAAGTTACAAGTTCCTCCCTGTAAATTATTCCTTCCTATCACATAACTTTAAATTGATTTATGTGTAAAGGGAACCAAACATTAGGAAACACTGAAACATTTCCATTAAAAAAATAATTACATTTTAACATGAGATATTTAGATCATGAATAAACAAACACATGTATTAAAAGCTTGCATGCAATTCAATATCCCCACAGATCATTGAATGCTTAATTTGGTATCACTAGTAGTTTTCTCTGCTGGGAAAGACTGAAAGGAGAAAGAGAAGAGGGTGACAGAAGATGAAATGTTTGGATGGCATCACCGACTCAATGGACATGAATTTAGGCAAACTCCAGGAGATAGTGAGAGACAGGAAGGCCTGGCGTGCTACCATCCATGGGGCTGGAAAGTGTCGGACTGAACTTTAACTAAAGTGTTTAACTGAAGTGTTAGAGAACAACAAAAACAAGTCATTTTCTCAACATCCAAAAAATTAAGATCATGGCATGTACAGAATTTCATCTTTCATCAGTATATGGGCTGCTTCCAAATTCACTGGATTTTCTAGCACTGGATTAGAAAGCATAGGAAAATATATAGAACATAGAATTTTTAAAGCGGCTTTTTTCTTAGGGGAAAAAGATAAACCACTACATACAACATTCAAGAAGCATTTATTAAATGCCTACAATGTGTCCACCTGGAGACAAAGACAAATGAGACATTGTCATTTCTCTCAAGACACTCATGGTCCCATCCTTTATGGCAAATAGGGGGAAAAAGTAGAAACAGTAATGGATTTATTTTCCTGGACTCCAAAACCACTGCAGTGACTGCAGCCATGAAACTAAAAGATGCTTGATCCTTGGAAGGAAAGCTATGACAAACCTAGGGAGCGTATTAAAAAGCAAAGACATCACTTTGCCAACAAAGGTCCACATAGTCAAAGCTATGGTTTTTCCAGTAGTCATGGACAGATATGAGAGTTGGACCATAAAAAAGGCTGAGCACTGAAGAACTGATGTTTTTGAATTGTGGTGCTAGAGAAGACTCTTGAGTCCTTTGGGCTGCAAGGAGATCAAACCAGTCAATCCTAAAGGAAATCAACCCTAAATATTCATTAGAAGGACTGATGCTGAAACTGAAGCTCTAATACTTTGGCCACCTGATGTGAAGAGCTGACTCATTGGAAAAGACCCTGATGCTGAGAAAGACTGAAGGCAAGAGGAGAAGAGGGTATCAGAGGATGAGATAGTTGGATGACATCACTGACTCAATAGACATGAGTCTGAGCAAACTCTTGGAGGCAGTGAAGGTCACGGAAGTGTGAATGCTGCAGTCCATGGGGTCACAAAGGGACATGACTTAGCGACTGAACAACCATAGTTTTCTACCACTGCTATAACAAATTACCACAAATTTAGCATCTAAATCAACACAAATTTATTCTCTCATATTTCTACAGGTAGGAAGCTGGGGTTGGTTGTACTGGCTTCTCTTTTCAAGATTGCACAAGACTTAAATTAAGGTATTGGTTGGCTGGGCTCTTATCAGAGGTTCTGGGAAGAATGTGTCTTAGTTCATTTAGGTTTCTGTTCAGTTAGCTCAGTTCACTCAGTTGTATCCAACTCTTTGCGACCCCATGGACTGCAGCACGCCAGGTTTCCCTGTCCATCACCAACTCCTGGAGCTTGCTCAAACTGATATCCATTGAGTCAGTGATGCCATCCAACCATCTCATCCTTTGTCATCCCCTTCTCCTCCTGCCTCAATCTTCCCCAGCATCAGGGTCTTTTCAAATAAGTCAGTTCTTGGCATCACGTGGCCAAAGTATTGGAGTTTCAGCTTCAGCATCAGTCTTTCCAATGGATATTCAGGACTGATTTCCTTTAGGATATACTGGTTAGATCTCCTTGCTGTCCAAGGGACTCTCAAGAGTCTTCTCCAACATCATAGTTCAAAATCATCAATTCTTCAGCACTCGGCTTTCTTTATAGTCCAACTCTCACATCCACACATGGCTACTGGAAAAACCATAGCTTTGACTAGACGGACCTTTGTTGGCAAAGTGATGTCTCTGCTTTTTAATATGCTATCTAGGTTGATCACAGATTTTCTTCCAAGAAGCGAGCATCTTTTAATTTCATGGCTGCAGCCACCATCTTCAGTGATTTTGGAGTCCCCCAAAATAAAGTCTGCACTGTTTCCCCTGTTTCCCCATCTGTTTGCCATGAAGTGATGGGACCAGATACCATAATCTCAGTTTTCTGAATGTTGAGTTTCAAGCCAGCTTTTTCATTCTCCTCTTTCACTTTCATCAAGAGGCTCTTTAGTTTCTCTTTGTTTTCTTACATAAGAGTGGTGTCATCTGTGTGTATGAGCTTACTGATATTTCTCCCTGCAATCTTGATTATAGCTTGTGCTTCATCCATTCATTCATTCATTCATTTGCTTCATTCATTCAGCATATCACATGGTATACTCTATATATTTAAATAAGCAGGGTGACAATATACAACCTTGTCATACTCCTTTCCTTATTTGGAACCAGTCTGTTGTTCCATGTCCGGTTCTAACTGTTGCTTCCTGACCTGAATACAGATTTCTCAGGAAGCAGGTAAGGTGATCTGGTATTCCCATCTCTTTAAGAATTTTCCACAGTTTGTTGTAATCCACACAGTCAAAGGTTTTGGCGTAGTCAATAAAGCAAAAGTAAAGGTTTTTTTGGAACTCTCTTGCTTTTTCGATGATCCAATGGATGTTGGCAATTTGATCTCTGGTTCCTCTGCCTTTTCTAATTCCAGCTTGAACATCTGGTAGTTCTCGGTTCATGTACTGTTGAAGCCTGGCTTGGAGAATTTCGAGCATTACTTTGCTAGAGTTTGAGGTGAGTGCAATTGTGCAGCAGTTTGAGCATTCTTTGGCATTGCCTTTCTTTGGGATTGGAATGAAAACTGACCTTTTCCACTCCTATGGTTGTCTGTTAGATGAATTCAGTTCCTGAATTCACTGTTTGTAGGACTGTTTCCTGTTTCTTTGCTGATGGTTAACTGGGGGCTGCCCTCAACCCTGAGACATCTCTTGCTGGAACTTACACTGGGACCTCTGTCTCAGAGGCAAAAGTGTGAGAAAAGCCTGCATTTGCTTGGACTTCTCCTACCATTTCCTTTCCTCCATCTTTACTGCATTTCTCGGAGAGACTCTTGTCTTCCTCTTCTATTGGTAAGGGCTCATGTGATTATTTTGGTCATCCCCCTGCGTAACTCAGGAAACCTTTCTATTGAAGGTGAGCTGATTAGTAATGGTAATCCCTTCTGCAAAATTCCTTCACACCTAGAGTTTGACTGAGTAACCAGACAGTGAGAGTCTTGGGGACATCTTCAAAATTCTGCCTGTAATAGTATCTGCACATCTGGATAATATAGGTGACCAGTAGGAACCAAACCATGGTGGTTGTTAGGCTATGGTCTTATTTATCTGGAATCTCAAAATTAATATTAACACAAATTTGAAATATTTATTCAATAATTCAGTATGCTGAATGTCAGATTACAACAAACTAGATAAAAATATATAGCCAATAATGAGTGATGTTGAGCATCTTTTCATGTGTTTTTTTGCCATCTGTATGTCTTCCTTGGAGAAATGTCTGTTCAGTTCTTTGGCCCATTTTTTGATTGGGTCATTTATTTTTCTGGAGTTGAGCTGGAGGAGTTGCTTGTATATTTTTGAGATTAATCCTTTGTCTGTTGCTTCGTTTGCTATTATTTTCTCCCAATCTGAGGGCAGTCTTTTCACCTTGCTTATAGTTTCCTTTGTTGTGCAAAAGCTTTTAAGTTTCATTAGGTCCCATTTGTTTATTTTTGCTTTTATTTCTAAAATTCTGGGATGTGGATCATAGAGGATCCTGCTGTGATTTATGTCGGAGAGGGTTTTGCCTATGTTCTCCTCTAGGAGTTTTATAGTTTCTGGTCTTACATTTAGATCTTTAATCCATCTTAGATACACTATGGTTGTGATAAAAAAAAATAAATTAATAAATTAAAAAAAAATATATATATATATATAGCCAAAATAATTACATCCAGAATGTCTAAGTGTAGTTACAGCTCAGAGTGGATTATTGTGGCTTAAGAGTCATGGAAATGATGGCAATCTTTCACTAATAAAACCAGTAATCTGACAGCTGATATTTCAAAAGCAACAAGAATTTTCTGACTTTTTTTTCATATTTGGAAAACACACTGGGCTATAATTTCAAGAATACTGCAACTTCTTAAACAAGGATTTGATGTGGATTTCACTATATCTTTCAAAGTGGGTGGGAAGCAGATGAAACTTTTCTTCAAGAGTAAGCTTTTGCTCTTTGGTTGGAGAGAGTCTTACTCAGAGAGACGCATTTGGTAGAGTTTATTCAATGGTCTTTGCATTCACCACTATGCTTAAGAACTTGCATATAATATACACACAAGCTACATTTAATGATTTTTTAAGAACTGCAATGAAAGGAATAATTAACATATACAAATCAAATACCCGGCAGTAGTAGTAAAAGTCCAGCTTCTAAAGTAGCCTTGTAATAGCATGAAATAACATAAAAAGCTATCCAGAGGATAAATAAATTTGAATCATCAATAAACAACTGTAAAAGTTCAGTTCAGTTGCTCAGTCATGTGAGACTCTTTGCGACCCAATGAACTGCAGTACACCAGGCCTCTCTGTCCCTCACCAACTCCCAGAGTCCACCCAAACCCATGTCCATTGTGTCGGTGATGCCATGCAACCATCTCATCCT